TGTCACAGGTGTTTTGAATCACCAGTCGGTGGGACACGTGTCCTTACATCTCCAGGCTATTTCAGGCCTTCCTTCCTTTGTTGGGATTTTAGACTTCCCAGCTTCCTCTCCTCTACTCTGCCTGGTCCCACAGCTATGGCCCACTGTTCTAGGCCTGGCCCCTGGGTCCCAGCCCTGGTTTTGCCCCTCTCAGGTGTCAGGCCCCTGGCCCCTGTCTCCTCCCTGCCCTGGGCTCAATGGCCCCACACTCTGCCCTGCTCCGGGCTCTGTATCTACTTTATCTGAACCTGCCCCCGGCAGGGCTCAAGACAATCACATGCCCCTAGGACAATAATGGGACCTCCAAAGCATCCCTGTAGCTCTCAACCCAAGCCACCAGTACACCTTAAATTTAAACACTTCAGCCTCCTGTTAGGCATCCAAATTCTTGCCAGGATTAACATGAAATAAAGATCACTTGCCTGCATAATAGGCATCTCTCTCTCTCTCTACCCTGGGTAGCTCTTTCTTGTTCCCAGGCCTGCAGAGATGCTTTCTTCCAGCCCTAGTGTAGATTCAGGGGCCCCACCATACAAGCAGGGCACAAGCCGTGGATGCTGCCTAAGGACGGGGTGAGGGAAGAATGGAGCCAGGGGTATGCATCACCGCCCTCCCCTCTTCCATGCAGTGGTTCTGATCCCAGCAGCAGGAAGTGGCGAGCAGCAGTGACAGGGTCGTCCCCGCTATGCTGCTGCCAGGAGCTCTGCACCCTGCAGCTCTCAGGGCTGGTGTCCTGGACTGGCTTAATCCCAAGGTTTATATAACTCTGGCCTGAATACCTCTTTTGGTCATGTGATGCCCCCAGTCAGCTGACCCAACTACAGGGCTGTCCTTCAACACCTACTCTGCTGGCTGCCTTTGCTATAAAGTCTCTGCCCTAAAAGGCGCCACACTGCTCCTTCAGTAACAGAGCCAGGGTTCCCTGTTACACCCACTCACCCCCATTTCTGTGAACTTAGGCTAGAAAGAGACATTGCCGAATTATGTGGGTCAGCTGTGCCACACCGTGATGTGGCACACATGATCCGCTTCACTGGGTGAAATGTACATCACCCCTTATCCTGCCCTTGGTGGTGCAGGACAAGGGGTGATGTGATCTCTGTGCTCAGCCAGACCTGCTACTGGTTTTGGGTCGGGCTAAGCAGGGAAAGCAGGGCTTTTCTTCAGCCAGACATGGGTCTGACCAAGCAGGGATGGGCTTGTTCCTGCACAGCCACACACCCCTGCCCCAGATTTGACTGTGTGGGGAACCCTGACTTCCCCACTTATGGAGAGACACCCTGAGATTACCTGGGGTGCCCCTCTAAGT